TGCCACGAAATCTGCACATGGAGGTTCACAAAGTGCTGCGCCTGCCACGAAATCTGCACATGGAGGTTCACAAAGTGCTGCACCTTCTACGAAATCTGCACATGGAGGTTCACAAAGCGCTGCACCTGCCACGAAATCTGCACATGGAGGTTCCCAAAGTGCTGTGCCTGCCAGGAAATCTGCACATGGAGGTACACAAAGCGCTGCACCTGCCACGAAATCTGCACATGGAGGTTCACAAAGTGCTGCACCTGCCACGAAATTTGCACTTCAAGAAACAAGTGAAAACTCTAATCCCAATGGACGGACGATTCCGAGCATGATCCGAGCATGATCCGAGCATGGCCCGAGACCGTCTCGCAACCGTTGTTCGGCAGACCTTGACTTGCCAGCTTCGGAGCCACCGGTTCCATTGAAAAATACAGCATTTCGTGCCTTCGCTATCTCTCCACAACCCATTTTGTCCACGAAATCTGCACATGGAGGTTCACAAAGTGCTGCACCTGCCACGAAATCTGCACCTGGAGCTGGAGTTGCCTGGAGCTTGAGCGGTGTATGATGAGTGGTGTATGATGAGTGGTGTGTGATCAGTCGTGTATGATGAGTGGTGTATGATGAGTAGTGTATGATGAGTGGTGTATGACGAGTAGTGTATGATGAGTAGTGTATGATGAGTGGTGTATGATGAGTAGTGTATGATGAGTGGTGTATGATGAGTGGTGTATGATGAGTGGTGTATGATGAGTGGTGTATGATGAGTGGTGTATGATGAGTGGTGTATGATGAGTGGTGTATGATGAGTGGTGTTTGATGAGTGGTGTATGATGAGTGGTGGTTGAACAGCTGTTGAATGTCCGTAACACGGAAGTTTTGCACACTAAACTTCCTTTGATCAAGTGTTTTTGGTTTCATGGTTTCTTCTGACAAAGGAAATTGTCTTTCTCAGCTGTCCGTCGGTTCGGTCAGCGGGCCTGTCGAGAAGCACCTCCCACATCTTGAGTTGTGATATCTGCCTCCCCCACGGTTGGTGCCTCCAGCGCTTGAAATGTTTCTCTAAGAAAGCGCTTTGTAAGCACATTTATACTTTGATGTCACGTTGTCTTGGCTCACAAAAAGCATTCTTGCATATTCTTCTCAGTGAGGCATAGTGAAGTCAATTTCTGAAAAGGAATGTCCATAAACGGAAAATAGGAAAACAAATATATATAAAGGCAAGCAAAGGATTACAGAACATGTATATATATATATTAAACTAATAATAAAGGACTTGTAAAAAGGAACAAGCCTTCCTGTTCATGTGATCAAGGAGTAGGAAAGCCTAAGGTGGTGGCTTAGTACTTGGATAGTACTGTGGCATTCTTGATTTGGCAAGGAAGGATCCTAGTGGGTCTTCTCATATGTTTGAACAACAAAAACAATACAAACAAGTGAACTTGCAAAAAGTAACTTTCTGTCATTCCCTGCAGTGCCTTTACTGGAGCTGATGGCTCCATCACAGTGACATTCACGGAGCCCCCAACGAGAGCCTGCAAAAGAAGAACCTAGAAAGCGATTGATACTTTGAAAATCTGAACCTCAGCATTGTCATCGATCTATGTCTCCTTCCTCCCCGCTCTGCTTCACGGTTTCTCTTCCAAAGAAAAAAGGGTCCACTCGAAGCGACACTTGTGTCGTACAAATATTTAGTTATATAATCAAAGACCAAGCTCAAATCATGAAAAATTCGGCCTGAATGCGAGAGAACCCCTCCTGGCAGCACCAAAGGCAAGTACGCCAAACAGTTGCCTGACCTTAACAGACTATCATTTTCGATTGAAAGTCATTAGGCTACTAGCTATGGCCCATGGCCTGTCAGTGCCAAAGAAATGTTGGTGCTGGTGTGTCCTCCATAGCATGGACAAGCCTCTGCTCATGGAGCAGCAGTAGTTCCTCAGAAATCTGTGCAAAACGTTCGAAGCTCCAAAGGAGAAAACGCCTTGAAAAAGTCTGAGGATACAGGTTCAGCGAAAACTATACTGGCTGGAGGCTATTGTCAGCAACCAGGATGCACAGCGAAGCTGGTCCGCTGGACCAGCAACAGCATTGAATGGAAGAATCGAACTAAATTAGGTTGGAGGCCATTGTTGTTTTCTGATAGCGATGGCCTCCAACCTAATAGCGAAGGCCTCCTGGCCAACCCAGAATGACGACTTGAGTTTCAGACACACAGAACCGAGCTACTACGTGGCACACCTAATCTGAATCTGGAAGTGCTTGGAGGCAACGTAACACTCTGTGAGTGTGATATCAATATGTCAGTATCTAAAGGAGGGTTGAAACGTGAAGTGCAATGTTCTGAAAGGCAGCGCCTGTATTTTTGATATGGTGATGTGTAGATTGGTGACTTCCCTCTAGAAATATATCTTTTCTTGTTTGCCCTGTTGAAATCTCTACTTTCTGTCTCCAGACAATTTCTTGTATCGTTCTCCATGCACAGGCCTCTAATTGTCTGCACCTATTGCAGAAATCTCTGTAGTTCTCAAAAGGCCGATTTAAAATTGCCCGCCGTGGGGGTGCACCTGACAATGCCCTGCCACGGCGATCTATGACCTTACAACCAGCATTTCCTGCGACCTCTTACGTTCAAACACGTTCAAATACAAGACATTGCCGAATTCAGTCCCACAGAGACCAAGGCCAACAGCTAAAGTTTTCATACCTTGGAAGTTTCTCATCTAAATTCCCTTTGACCAGATTGAAATGGCTTTGACAAAGGGGCCAACATGAAACATGTTGTTGTTGTTGTTGTTGTTGACAAAGGGGCTTCAGGAATTCATGTTGTTGCGGCACTCGCTGGGCCAGTGGGCCCGGTTTTGGGAACGACTGAGCACACAAAGAAGTGTTTCTGAAGCTCGAGCTGTAGGGTCAACCATCTTCAAAAAAAGGGAACCGTGCTGATACCACCAGTTGGTTTGCAAAGCTTAAGGCAACTTGAAACACCAACTTTGCCGTAACAACTAATGACTTTAGGCGCCGCCAGCTCTCCTTAGCAGTTTCTGGTGTCTTTCACCAGTTTCACGCGATCATGCTGAAACATCGCCAAGGCACATCAAGCCGATGCGAAGTGTCACCCTGCAGGGGTGAAGAAAATAGATTATTGTGTTTTTCAGTTGCCAGAACTCGTACACTGCAAACGTGAGACCCTTAAAAAAATCCCAGCAATGTTGCTTCATACGAAGAGATTCATGCATGTTTCTCAGAGCCTTGTTTGAAATCTGCGTGCACAAATCACATCTGTTTGCAATGTTGAAACCAGTAGTATGCAGAGACAAACACTTGCAACATCCACCTGCACCACAGGTATCTCCAAGGAGACATCAATAATATCATCTGGTTTCTGAGACGAGGCGAAAGCAGGCGCCATTGACATGGCAACAAGAAGCTGTGGCCCAGCAAAGCAAAAAACTCCCGTAATGCTAAAAGAGTTTCGCTTGAACATGAAAACAAAAGTGTGTTTGTACAAATTCATGTCAAAACCTCCTGCGATTGAACTGCTTTGGTGTGTGCGGCTTTGTAAAACGTTGTATCCTACTGTGAGTAGCCGTTGGAAAATATCACCGCCGCTGCCACACGAAGACTTCCGTTCTCTCACGTGACATGTTGTTTACGCAAAATGAGTCCCAATGACAAAAACCCAAGAAAATCCCAACAGTTGGTCATGAGTTTGCTGATAAAGCGATGGCAACATATTGGCATTTGCCATTCATTTGTCACTTAGCCTGTAACGTTTGCAGGTTCATTAGCAAGTGGTGCATGTGTGTGCGCGTTTGTTTGTAAAGCCGTTTTCACAAGTGCGATCTCTTTCAATGTGCCATGCGAACATATTAACCCGGCAATACCTCTGTGTAGCACATGTGCCCACATATGTGCGAGCATGACAACAACACCGCAAAAAACAACTATCAAAAAACCGCTTCCAGAGCCGGTTTTGGAGCCCGCCAGAAAGCTAGCACGATAGCATGACCCGATTTCCGCATCTCAGTGACAACTTGTTAGCGTCTTGCCCCAATCCAGCATGACAACATGTCAGCATGACAGCCTGACAACTTGTCGGCGTGACACTATGCCAGCAAACCAGCCTAACAATATGAATCATGCCAGTGTATGTGCCCGTCTGCGTGACAGCATTCTGTATACGTGACAGGGAGCCAGCATCATTCATGACGTGTCAGCACTACCCCCGTGCAAACATTGTCATAGCGACATTTATCATGTCTGGAAAGCGCTCTGGAGCTTCTGCCTCCTCTCGAACTTGTCCGGAGGCTCCGGAATCTGGGCCGAAACCTGCTCCGGAACTCGCTCCAAAACTTGCTCTAGAACTGTACATGTGCTCAGGGAATTGGTCCAGGATCTGCTCCTGAACCTCTGGAACCGAAACTTGCACCAGAAGCTGCTCCGGAACTTGCTCCAGAACAAAAGCTCCCCCGAAACTCCGGAACCTGTTTCGACTTGCGCCGGAAACCTGCTTCGCTCTACCACCTGCTCCGGAACATGCCCTGGGACCTGCTCCGGTTGGCTGAAGTCCCCCTCAGCTTCACTGTTAACAAAACTGAACGGTTTCAAGGTCTAAAGAAACGCCTAGTCAACAAGCCATGGCAACATAGCAAGTCCACAAACCAGTGTTGCGTTCCTTCCAGGCGGTGCCGCTTTGGAACATGTGGCCGTTTCCATGCGCCATGCAAGCATCACCACATCGCAACATGTGTGTCCACATAAGTTTACATATGTGCTAGCATGACAGCGCTGTTATGAACAAGAACCATGTAACCTACTCAGGAGTGTCAGTGACAGCAGCACTTAGAACATGTTTTTGCGTCTACACATCCCCATGGAAGCGTAATATAGAACATGCCACCACAACACCAGGTCAGCATGTCGGCGCGGCAGCACTTCAGCATGAAAGCACAGTAGCATGTCAGCAAACACAGCACGTCAGCATGACTGCATGCATGTTTGCAAGTTGCAACTTGACTCAGTATCAACGTGACAGCACACACCATGTAAGCATCGTAGCCTGATGCCTGATGGAATGACAACATGTCAGCGTGACACCGTGCCAGCATGGTGACATGCCAGCACTACGCCATGACAATGTCAGCAGCATGACAGAATATTTGCAGAGCTGCTGCGAAGCCTGGCTCGGAACTCCCGGACTTTTTCTAGAACCTGGAATGTATACTCCAGCCCTGCCGGAACTTGCTCCGGAACCTCCTCCAGAACTTGCTCCAGAACCTGCTCCGGAACCTGCTCCGGAACTTGCTCCGCAACCTGCTCTGGACTTGCTCCGATCCCCTCTGGCGTCTTTACTATGATTGGCTGAAGATCCCAAGCTTTCCTGTTGGGGCAAAAAGTATGTGTCGCTGTCGTACTCGTGGAACGACCCCTTCTTCTTTTGATCCGAAAGCTGGGCTGCAAATCGATGCGGCGAGGACACTTGAGTATTGTTTCTATTGCCAGTTTTTGCTAACTGGGATCTACCCATTTTGTTCCTCCCCTGGTTTAAGGGGCGTTCTCTAAATGTACCAAAGAATGATCCGACAAAAACGCACATATGCTGGCACATTCTGCTACATCGTCTTTCTCATATTCCTGAATTTACACTCTCTGCGAACATGTTTCAACGGCTGCAAACACACAAAGCACTCCGCTTTCAATCTGCTCGAAAAGCAGCGCTTCTTAGTTGAAAGCCCTTTTCGATAATCGTTCTCTGCATCTCTAAGCCTTCTCCTTCTCAGCTCTGCAGGGCTCCATGTTGGGCATCAAAGCTTCTGGGGCTCTCCCCAACTGTATTCTCAGCAGCTTGAATGCCGCTTGGTACCTGGACCGAGGTCTGAAGCAGCAGCAAAAGAAGCATCAAATGAAGAACAGTACAAGTACGCAGAGATATGGATTGTCGTTATGTGTCAAGAAGGAGCTTGTCATCACGCCAAGAAAGGAACATGGTTTGATCAAGCTGGGGACGTTTCATAGGAGAAAAAGGGCATGTAATCAGATGGGGCATGCATAGCCTTTTGGATCGTTGGGCATCTTTTCTCACGTGCAGGTACATAAAAATCATCTTGTTTAGCTGCATGCATCAGTGACATAAGATCTGTCTTCTGCTAAATCTACTCTTTTGCAAATACCTTCCGACAACTGTTCTTGTCTCTCCATTCTGGACCGCTGCTGACATTGGAATGTGAAGGACTGTTTCTCAGCTACAGTAGGTTTCGATGGTGTGCCTCAACCTCATTAGGGCCCGCCTGGCTGCTATTATCCGTTGCATAGCTGGTGCCTTTGCGGCCAAAGCCTGTGCAAAAAAACATAGAGCACCAAGCTGGCCCACCACAGCTGAGCAAACAACACGAGGCAATAGCAAAAGAGAATCCGTTTTTCCTGGCAACTCATGACCTAAGACTCTGAAGCCCGGGTCTCTCAGGTTGAACTTGGAACTTGCAAAAATTGGCACAAGGCCAAAAGGCATGACACTTGAGTGAGACTACTACTTCTTCTTTTTGCCACCAGCCTTGGCTGTAGACTTGCCTGAGCTGCTTGCTTTACTGGCTTTCCCTTCATCTTTCTCATCAGGTGTGCTGGCCCCCTCCTTCTTGGGTAGCTCATGTCTCCATTGGCAATTCTTGTCCTTGCAAGAGCCATGCTTCACGAAGGCATAGCAAAGGTCCCATTTTTCAGTAAATTTGGCACTCAATCGCTCTTTCCGAGCTTGCTCAATCCGTTCTGCCTTGGTGGTCGATGCTGCAGGTTCAGCAGCTTCACGCTCCTGCTTTCGCTTGGGATCTGCAGCTTCGCGCTGACTTGAAGCAAGGATTTCTGGAGCATGCATATTGAGCCAGTCAAGAACCTTCTGAATCACTTCTGATCCCTCTAGCGAGGGCAGCACCTCTGTGCGCAGAGTTATCTGAAGAGCACTCAAGGCCTCCCGGATCCAGCCAGTTCCAGCTCCCGCAGCTCCAGTTCTTTCATCCTCTTGCAGCACAATGCTTGCATTGTGCAAAGGATAGAAGGGGGGCATTGAGAATTCGACGATCGCCGCGCAGCCACCTCGAGGCCCATCGAGGTGCTGTGAGACTTGGATGCGAAGTGGCTCTGGCGCTCGGCTCACTATGCCCCGTGAGAAGCATTCTTTCAAGTGTGTCCTGACCTCAGGAGTCAGAACCTGGAATTCCTCGGGAAACATTGCTTCCACGATCTCTATCTCAGCAAGCTGCCGTTCGTGCAAATCTGGAGTTGCCCATTCTGGAATCCATGTCTCAACCTCCAATGGTTCGTCCTGAGGACTATCCGATTCGCCACTCTCCTCTGACTGAGCTTGAGCTTGGGATCTCTGGGGTCTGGAGGAAGGCTCTGCACGAGCACGTCCTGTTACTGAGAATGTAATTTGAGCAGCATCACCGCGGGCACGCGGAAGTCTGGCAAGCCTGGACCGACGTGGTGCAGATGCAGATTCAGCAAGGGTAGGTTCGCTTGGATCCTCCTCGAACTCCACGTCAAATTCCGTGTCATCCACTACCTGCAGACCACCATCATTGTGCACTGTCCGTTGGGTACAGGTACGGATGCGTCTTTCTTCCTGCTGTGCACTTGGGCGAGATTCTGTTGGCAATTCTCCTAGTGCTGGCCAATGAACTGAAGCTGCGGGCGCTTCGCTCGCCTGCTCTTCGGAAACCTCTGCACCACTCTGAGGTGCACTCACTGCATTGACGTCAGGCACAACTCTTGAAGTTGCATTTCCAACAGAGCGGAAGTCGAAGAGACTTCTCAACATAGATGCTGCCTCTCGCTCAAGAGCAGCCATTCGGGTTGCAGCTGGTCCATCTGACCTGGTCGTCCTTACTGCTTTGGCCAAGTCAAACGCATCAGTGACATGCACTGCAGGAAAACCGTGTGCAGCGATATACTCATCCAACGACTGGCACTCTCCTCTTGACAAAGCTCTGCGATTCACAGGGTCAATCAACTGCCCAGAGGATACAAGGAAGGAAGCCAAGAACATACCGTCAAACCAATGAACAGATTGCTGTTGCTCTTGGCAAACCATCCTCTCACCTGCTTTGCCCCAAATGCCTTCGCTGGGTGCCTCAGTATTCTCGGCGGTTCCCACCAATCCAAATGGATCCACCGAAAGCTCTTCCAGTGGTGATAGCGATATAGGACAGCAGTCACCTGCTAGATCCTTCCACCATCTAATTGCGCCAGGAGGTGGGGTGTAGTTGGCAGCAGCTGCAGCTGCCAATGCCATGCCATCCATTGATCCAGCTGGGGCAGCCTTGGCTTGAGGCTTCGCTTGGGGAGCCTTCGCTTTGGGTGAAGGCGGAGCCACAGCTCGAGCTGCTTCGGGAGCAACGTTCACCGGTGCTGAAGCACCTTGAAAGCGCCAACGCCGAGCTGGAGCTTCTGATGCTTCTGCTTCTGGCACCGTGGCCATCGGAGTTCCAGCTACTGGGGTCTCCGGAGCTTCTCGATTTTCTCGCGTCTCTGATGCCTCGTCATCCCAGCCAGTTGCTACAGCTTTGGCTTTGGGAGCAACTTTTGGCGACGCTTTCACCGATGGCTTGGGGCATGGCCATGCTTTTGGCGCGACGCCACTTGCAAAGGGAAAGAGTTGCTTTGGCTGAGCAGGGCTAGGCTTTGGAGGCACTGCTGTACCTGTTTGTGCTCCGAGGCCACTGGGACTGCTGCGCTGTGCCCTTGTCTTGACCACTGTTGCTACTCCAGCAATCTCACTCGTGCGATGGCTTAGATTTTGGATCTCAATCTGAACTTGCTCAGCGCCTAAGCCATCCCCATCACTGTACGCAAAGAATGACACGCGGGCATCTTCGGCAAGTTCAACCCGGCCTTCCACATCTGAAATGTGAACATATACACGGCCACCATGTTTAACTGCTTCTTCATGGTTGATTCTCTTGTCTGACCGAATCCAGCCAAAGCGACCCTTCCAACTCAAAACAGTTCCCATAAGGCGATTTTGAGTGATGCGGACACGAGTCCCCATGGTGGCACTGAGGCACGCAAAGGTCACTATGCAGGAGCGTTGCTCAATCTGCAATTTTGATGGGTAATGTAGGTTGCCTTCTATGAAACTTGAAATACTCTGAATTCAATGTGTGCTGTATTAGTAGCTTTACTATTGACTTTTCTTTCTTGGTTGCACTACTGCGCGGACTTGATTTTGTGTCGGAAGGTTGTACTTTGCCTGCTGGATCTAAATGCTAGATCGAACATGCCCGAACAAAATCGAGCCAGCTGCTATCAGTCTGTAAAGGACACAGAATTCGGTGGTTGCATATCTTTGCATCACATGATTTCTCCAAAAATGACAAAGCATTTGGTTGGCTTGGACAGTATATGCACTCAGGTATAGAGGTTGCACAGCTGCAGAAAAACAATGTCTGCTAGGGACCAAGGTTTAGACTACACAGCATTCAGCCCCCTTTGGACACCAACTGCAAATAATGGTTGTACTGAAGATGGTGAGTGTTCTAGAAAGCCCAAAGTGAGAGCGATTCCTGGAAGAAGCAGAAGACATAGCGGGAGCAGCATGAAAAGGCGACAAAGCACCACATAGCTGCCAAGATGAGCCCAAGAGCGGTCCTGGTTGGTAGGAAGTTCGAGTTGAGCTCTGAAGAGGGAAGAACTTCTGTGATGCTCCTAGTAGCGTCCTTGCTCCTAGTAGTAAGGCCAGGAGCCCCTAGTAGCGTCCTTGTTCCTAGTAGCGATGCCCTTTTGCTCCTAGTAGCGTCCTCAGGTCTCAAGTTTCCCAATTCGCGGTCGTTCTGTCCAGAAAACAAGGTAGTCCTTCTCCCAGCACCAGCTTGTTACAAGGCCTACATCAGTGCATGCATGTCGAACCAGTCCTTTCACAAGCTTGATTGACAGTTTTAGAACCCCATCCTTGCCATTGCCGATGTGGTACGCCTGAGGCACGCTTGAGATCCGCTTGTTCCAAGTTTTTGAGGCTCTCCACAAAGCAGACTAAATCTGAGAGTTGAAATCTCAGTTTGACGTCCTCCCATTTCCAGCACGTCCACTCTCAGCAGTAGCGGCAGCAGTACTTTTTGCATAGGGAAGGAGAGGCTGTTCTTGTCTTATTGAGAATTGAGAATCACCTCTGAGTTTCATGTTGAAAGTTCCAACAGCTCTTGTTGCCCATGAGGATGATAATATTCCTCTTCTGAACATAAAAACAGCCTTGCAGCCTTCGGTCAGCCGATGTTGCGATCAAAACACTGATTTGCTAATTCATCTTTAACTTTTTTGAAGAAAGCACACGGTTGTGGATTAGCCCAAGTCAGTTTAATGAACTAAGGCAAAGCAGTAATCTATATTTTTGGATCAAGCAAACCAATACCCTTCTGTAGGCTCTGATCACTCGGGTCTCTGATCACTCGGGTGCAGGCACCTCCGTCAGCAGAGCTGCAAGCCTAGAGGAAACCTTGACAGGCAATGAAAACTGCAAGGAAAAAGATCCAAAATATATAGACCCAAATAAAACCAACAGCTGCCTATTGGGCAATGGCAACATCGCAAGTTTACCAACATGTGCTGTCCTTGCTAAACAATCCTGTTCAAAACATGTGACCCCTTCAATCTGCGATGCAAGAATCACAAGGCGGCAATATGTCAGCTTGGCACATGTGCCCACATATGTGCAGCATGACAACGCCACAACCAGCAAGAACCAGGTAAACTTCTCAAGAGCCTGTTCTGGAGCCTGCCGGCATGTCAGGACCACAGCATGATCCGACTTCAGCATCTCACCGTGACAACATGTCCACGTGTTAGAGTGACCAAGTCAGCATGCCAGCATCACAGCATGACAGCCTGGCAACAAGACTCCGTGACACCGTTTTAGCATATCAGTGAGGCAACACGTGAACACGTCCGCACATCCACATGAGAATGCTTTATATAACAGCAACATGACACCATTTCGGCACATCAAGCAACACCTAGCATGTCAGCATGATAACATGTTAGCATGTCAGCAAGAACTGGTCAGCGTGACCAAAACACTGTATGTTAGTAAGTCAGCTCTGCGCTATGACAATCTCAACAACAGCATGTCAGCATCTCTGCAACATGTTCTAGAAACCTGCTCCACAACCTAAGACCTACTCCGGAACTTGCTCCAGAACCTGCTCCGGAACTGGCTGTGAGATCGGCTCCGCTGTTGGGGAAAAAAGAACAAAGACAAAGACCTTTTGCTGACTCAGCTAGACAATTGTGCCCACTGGTCAATCAGCCTGATCTCCAAGGTCGAGAAAGAGACTTAGCACAGCAAAGCCCAGTGCTCCAAAGTCCTGCGACTTTTAGATCGACAAAAAAGTCACGGAAACCAATTATCCTCAGGCAGTGCGACGGTGCACCCGAGTGGACGGACTTCGACCATACTCTATACATAGTTGGTATCTGCAAAACACCCTGTCAACCCACTTATTGCCATTTGACTCAAAATGCTCCAATGTACGACTGCACTCTTGCTTGTACCTTGCTGGTCCTTCGGTGCGCAGTCGGCACAAATCGCAAGGTTCGGCAAAAATGCCAAGCTGTCCGCTGCACCTTCAAGAATTTTCACTCTGTCTGATACATCCAGAGTGGAGAACGGCGAAAGAAGGGGAGGTGGTGCAAGTGAGAGAGAGAGAGGAGAGAGGGAGAACAAAGAAGGCCAAATGGAATCATTCAACTTAAATATTATATACGTAAGAGCTATGCCCTGGATGCTGACATGCTGTGCCAAGCTCATTGACCCTAGCTGCCTCCCAAGGCTGTGCAGAGTGCATACAGCCATGGAAAACTGCCTCAGTTTCCAAACCAAACAAAAACAATACGTGAAAAAACAAATAATATATATATATATATAATATATATATATATATAGAGAGAATCAAGAAAGTCCATCGGTAGGACAAGACTGGCTTCAAACCTGTGTCCATGACACTCAAGCTTCATCGTTCTTTAAACTTGATGCTGAACTTTGACCTCCATCCCTTGGAAGTGTCCAGCCCATGCTGAAAACAAGCAAAATGTGTACGTGTTGCTGAGACATAGCCCATCAAAAAATAAACAAGTCCATGCCAAAGCAGCTGAGGTCTACTGTTGACAAGAAAAGGCGTAGCCCTCCTCCAACCAACACCTCCAAGCAGAAAAGTAGCAAACATTGGCATTCCACGGTCATCTTTGGGGCCTACAGTTCAGTGTCCTCCTCTCCCGTTTGCTTAGCTATATGGCAGTTATTCATGCACAAAGTCGGTCCAGGTGGCATCCTTAACATCTGCTGATGTATGTAACATATGCACTCACATGTGTGTATACCTGCAAGGTGCCCTTGTAGCTGCATGCATACACAAATCGTGCGCGCCACACACAAACCCTGGATACCTCAAACTCTATGACGTTAGAGAGTTAGAGCTGGAGAATGAAGTGTCGACCGTTTGTACGAGGCACGGCTTGGCATGTTGTGATGAGGATCGTCAGCCGCAAATTCTTTGTGATCTCCACAGGCAACGCCTCAAGAGTTGTTTTCGACAAGTTCGCACGAACATTGGAATCTAGAATTCTGTAAAGTGAGAGAAAATATGTGAACACCATATTAGGGTGCATGCCGTCAAAATGGAATTGCTTCTATTCTATCATCATAATCGTCCACAAGCATGTTTGGGGTCTAAGATGCAGACTCACAGCCCTGTTGCAGTACTGACACCATCTACTTGCAACAGCACCCTTGCCGCTGATCATATCTCTTACCCTTTTGAATAACGAACAAAGTTCTTGAATGTGCACAAATGATACATCTTTCGAACCGAATGTCCAAAAGCCCCTAAACCAATGAGCTACCCATGTTCCATGACCCTTTCCAACGTGAAACAAATGAAGCAAGTAAAGCGGAAGGCTCACCAGCTCACGGTCACGCCTGAAAGCAGCATAGCGCTGCGAAGCCACCAAGGCTGCCGCTGGCATTTCTGATTCCAACCCAGACTCCACTCACCTGAAGCATGCGAGAGCACTTCACAGAACCTCTATTTTTAGCCCGTGGCCCTGCCTTCTTAATTAAGTAGGTTCCTACTTAAATAAGTAAGGGAAAAGTAAGCTACTAGCAATAGGAAACTGCTACATATGGACACAGCATTGTTCATTCTTCTTCAAGGAAGCTCCCCCCACCTGAGGGCAGGGGGAGCTTCCTTGAAGAAGCGTGAGCACTAATGATTTGGCTCCTAGATCTTTAGGGAAACTTAGCTTGAAAGCTGAGAGTTGCTTGTGGTCTTTTTTGCCTTCGTAGAGATAAAGCTTGCGAAGGTGTCCTCCTCAGTTGGAACCTCAGAAATATTGCTGCTACGCGCAGCCGCACTTCTTAGATTTCCTCAGATTCACTTTGATGTTTCATTGGAGAAGTATATATATATACTGTAGTTGACTTAGAATCTCAGGGTGCCACTGCACCTCGGATAAAAAGGAAAAATGCACCTGCTAAAACGCCTGGGCATCGGAAAAACTCTAAGAAATCAGAAAAGTTGCTGCAAAGCATAGAGAGAACAAAAGATCTCCTAGCAGTGAATCCTTATCAGCTTGCTTACCGGCAGCTTTGCAATTCCTGACAACGGCACCGCAGCTTGCCTGATTGCCAGCACCATGGAACGCCTGAAAAGTCACCAGCATTGCAGATTGAGCAAAAATGAACAAGCCCTGTGTCTGCCTGTTGTGTGTGTGTGTGTGCGTGCTGTGTTTTTCTTTCTTCTTCTGGGTTGCTTTGCGGTTCCAAAATGTGCAAAGTCCTGCAAGGTTCCAGCACTCTTTCTGTATCTGCTCGCTGTGACCTGATGGTTGTGTGTGAGAGAGAATAAAAAGAATGCAACAATTGGAACCAATGTGAACGGTTCATCATGTCGACCCAAACGCCTTCCTTTTTACCTAATCGGGTGCTCATGACTTAAGTTGAGACAAATACATATGCAAGTCTGTGTTGACCTTGAACCTTTGGTTCATTGGTGATTCCCGGGTTCAGTCCTGCATGCGGCTTTGTGAAACTACTTTGGACAAGCTTAGAGTCATCACTTATTGGTCACTTCTACTCACCATCCCAAATCCTGCAGTCAACTCAACAAGCACTGAAAATGCTCCAAGTGGACAGCAATCAATGGACCTGGTTGGTATCCCATCAGATTTACAGTAACAGTATCTCCCCTTGGCTGAACACATCGGGTGGTTTTTGCCCTTCAGAGTGGTTGCGAACCTGATGGTGCATGTCTATGCTTTACGATGTTCAATATTTCTGAGGCTTGGAATTCGGATTGTCTTTTGTTATTCCTTGCCTGGGGCCGTCCTTGTAAGATCTCTCGGACCAAACAATCCAACATCCATCAATCTCAAGCTAAATCCAGGCCTGATGATGCTCCCCGGTCTGCCCGCCGGATGGCCGGAAAAGATGCACACCTGCAGTCAAGCTGGCATCTCGCTTCCTGTCGTAAACCATCGTCTTAGGCCCCTTCAGCCAATAACGCTCTCTTCTACATCCTGTTCTTCCCGAGTTCTTCCTGTCACTCGCAAACCCAAACACACTTAGTCTAGACCTTAGGAAAAAATATTTTTTCTTTCAGGTTTTGTGGACCCAGTTGCCCTTTGCTACAACAAGACTTTGTCACACAAATGTCATTCCTCCAAGGTGCATAGAGATTCCTACTGCTGCAAGTGGAGCCACGACCTGAGCCAAAATACTACCAGAAAAGGGACTTGGGCCGAGCCCGTACCATGAAATCGGATGCAAAAATCTAGTGCGAGGTTGGTAGTCTGGGTGCGATGTCCATCAGATCCTCAATGTAAATCCGGAGAAGCCAAAAAGCAAGCAAGGGCCGACTTGGTGGCACCCTGTCTCTCTTGTGTAGATATCGGATGTTGCGCAAGCATGTCACAAACGGCGCATCTCAAAATCGCTCTAAACGCCTGATTCTCCTCTCAGCAAAAAGAACATACTGTAGATCACTTGAGAGGAGGGAGACACGAAAGGTAGGACAGCGGGAAGAGAAGAGAACGCGAGAGGCAGGAACAAAAATGCAATGTTTGACATGGTGATTTATCCCCTCGGAGGCGACCTTCCGTAAATATATGTTCATATGCTTTAAATGTTCAAACATGTGCTCTTGAAACGTTCAAAAAAATTCTTAGGAAAACAAACTTGCCCCATGGCTCAGATCATCGGTGAGCATTGAATCGGAACATCATAGGATTTGAACTATCCTGAAACCATAAGAGGCTCACGAAGACGCTCCCCAGGAGAGAATTGACGTGCTTCACAAAACAAACTCTAGGTATGTATAGTATCCCCTGGGGAAACACCTTTCGTGATTAGAATTTCATATGCACTCTTTCTGAATGTTCAAGAGGGTTTCAACTATCCTGAAATCATGAGAGGCTCACGAAGACATTCTCCAGGAGAGAATTGAATTTAGAAGGGGGAGGGGGGGGTCGGTATTGAAAAATCAATTCCCCGGGGGGGGGGGGGGGGGGGGTGTAGTGAGAACAAAATTCGAGGGGGGGGGGGGGGGGGGTTGAATTGAGCAATCAATCATTCGACCCGGACTCGCCGACACTTGCTTCGCAAGACAAACTCAAGGTATCCCCTAAAGGGCTACTTTTCGTGATGTATCGAGAACGCCTGAATTCTACTCACAACCGAATATTCCTCAGGTCGGCACACATACTTTCGCAGCAGTATGATGACTACCTCGTTGAGTTGTGTTGTGGGGTCATACAAACAAAGGCCGTGCGAACTTGGCAACGCCACTGGGACTTGTAATGTCTGCAATATGTCAAATTGTTGCCAAAGCCTTGCATCTGCAACAAAACAATCAAAAACCTGCATGTTAGAACAATGTTCACCGTAGTTCTTGGTTCTGTGTTTCATGCATCAACTCGTTGGGTGGCAAGGTAGGGGTTGGGTCTCTCCAGAGCCGCTCTAGACTCAGATGAAAAGCAGCCCAGCGGCTAAATGCTGCCAATGTCAGTGGGCTTGCCATGCGGGCCACCAAGCTGCCTGCCTCATTTCCAAACTGGGCAATGCCCTTGCAAACTTCGCGAGAGCCGCCTTGATAGATTCAGGAATAACATGACCCTAACGTTCCAAACCGATCTAGATAGAGCAAGTTAAAGACTGGTTTTGCCAAAAACACTGTGAACGATTCTCTGTGGGGTCGGCTGTCTTGAAGGCAAAGGATGTAGCCTGCACCTCGACGCAGCAAATAGATTGTTTGAAGGGCTGGCACGTGCCTTTTAGCACCAGCACATACATTATTCCAAATCTGTATGTATAACAATATTATATATATATATACACAACGAAGTCTTTGCAGAAAGGTTTTCCTGGCCCGGCAGTGCTAAACTGTTGTACCGCCAACAAACTCGGACTTTCCGAAAATATGCAGTTGGCGAAGAACGTGGGACGTTGTGGGGCGGTGTCTTGGAGTTGTTTGCTCATTTTCAACACGAGTACTTAGAAAAAGGAATGTCATTTTTCCTTACATCTGCACATCTCAAAGGCAATCTTCCAAAAGAAACCTCATGGAGATATTTGGCTCGTAACACTCCTTATTTGTGTGGCCCAACTTTTTCCTGCGATACTAACCTCTTTTTAAAGAAACTGTCTGGCAATGGGGTAGGTATCCACCAACCCTCCCAAATTAGCTTGGCTAACCTTATCCATTGAAATGTCCTGCAACTAACCACCTCTCTTCCCTTCTTTGACCATCATTAGTTTCACCAACCCCTCATCCTATGGTCCTGTGGCCAGCTCGTTTCTTCTTTCCCTTCTTTAACTCCAATGGAGTCCAAAAAATCCTTTTGCTCATGCTGGCTCATTGTTGGCTCATCCCTTAGGCAACTTGCCCAGTCAATGAGACTCGTTGGACAGGATAGTGCCAAATAGGTGAATATGTGTTTGGCTCTCATTGACTGCGCCAATTCCCTCAGCTCATTTAGTTCACTGCCCTTCTCCAACCTCTTGATGGCAATCTCTGCCGTCTTGATCCTGTTCTCTTGCAGCTATTGGGCTGCCCTCAGGATCTTATCAACATTCTCCTTCATTTGCTTCATCTAGGCTTCCTTCTCATTTTGTATTGGTTAAAACTATTGTTGACATCCTCTGCACATCCACAACCTCTTGGCCAGTGTCCAGTGGAGAATGCCACCTCCTCCTGCTTGTATGATGCAACAAAGAAGCCACGCCTGCCTACCGGCGACATTTGGCCCATGGGGTGATGGTGATGGGGAGTTAAGCAAAGACTCACCTATCACTCACCATTGTAGCAAATCGCTGAGCTGCAAGCCTCAGATTCCTGACTCCAAATAGCATAGCACCTACTGTAATCCTTTGGCCTGCAGCAACCGATTGATGTCCAGCACGATTTTCCCATAACTCTGATCATGCAAGAGAATCCTGGTTGTCAATGTGAGGTACACCCAATCAGCGCCAATGAACCCCTATTCAAAGCCATCCCAAGACTATGCTTTCATTGATTCCTGGGTAATCACTTCAATTTCAATATCTCCATTTGCTAATGCCAACTCCGACTCTTCACTCATCAGGCCTCGATCAAGCAATGGCTCATGCTTCCTACAATCTCTTCTGAGGCCATCTCCATACTTTATTAATTTATCATCACCCTGCATCTTGTCCAAATACTCTTTCTTCACACATTTTGGTGCCAATTGTTCCTTGTTGCTTTCCCTTGAATAAGGTCGCTCGTGAATCCAACAACAAGGATTCCTCATGGATTTGCATCATTGACAACCTTAGATCCTATAGTTTCTGTCCCTCCTGGATCCCGTAGTGATCTCCCCCACGTCCTTTTGCAAGAAAAGCTCATAGGAAGCAAAAAAAGTCAAATTGTCCTTTTTAATAAATATGTTTTTTTGTAAATTGTTCTTTAAAGTCCTTTGTTTGGAGATTATTGACAAACAGATAGTACAGTATGTTTTTTAAGTATTTTATATATAGAGTTGTTTAAAGACATCTTTCAAACACTTAAGAATGTGAGTTTGGAAAATGTGGAAAAAGGGGACTGTGGGTGAAACTAGTCTCTGTGGTCGGACAGCAAAACTGCAAGGGAGGTCATCAAAAAAAATATCGCACAGCAAGACATCAACAGCACAGTACATGTCCAAAAGCAGAAACGACTGCAGCTTGCGAGGACCATGGGCTAAAGTGGATGTCTACTACAGAGGACAGCACAGTAGCAGTTGTCTGCAGGTGGAGGTATCGGTGATAAGGCGAAGTCAGCAAAGGGACAACCAAGATATAAAGAATGTGAGATCCAGCAAAATAGATTAGATCATGGAGCCAATTGACATGGGATCAAATCAGCTGAGTCGCATGGGATGCCCTTTATCAGCTTAGGAAAAAAACACATGAGACGAGATAGGCTGGGATGATGAGTGTACAATCAAGCCGGATCCTATGCAAGGTCAGTACCGACAGGGCAAGATGCACTTGCAATTTGAATAATGATACAAAAGACAACAATGAGATCCAAGAGTCTGATCGTTCACAAGTTCGCTCAAACAAGCTGCCACCAGCTCTGGAAGGAGGTCACTCCTGCCAACTGTCTACATCCTCCTCCAGACTCAAGTCCAAACTGGTCAGGGGCACCTTTTCTTCTAAGCAAAGGGTAAGAAAAGGAGTGACACAGGTGTGGTTTTCACTGCATAGAAGCAGCAGCACCAGCAGTAGTAGCTAGTAGCCGCAGCCGGTAGGTGGTTAGTGGTTAGGAGATAGGACTTAGCAAGTAGTAGGTGGTAGGTAGTAGGTGATGGTGGTAGCAGTAGCAGCCGCCATCGTCGTCGTGGTCGTCGTCGTTGCCATCGTCAAAGGAGTGGCTTTGCAGTAGGTGATAGGTAGTAGGACGTATTCGGTATATAGTATATAGTAGGTCTTCGGGGCTGGCGGGTAATTGCACAAATCAGCAGTTGCAGCAGCAGGAGAATTGAAGGCCTTAAAGTGTGTTGCAGAATGCTTGCGTGCTAAGAATATATGTTATTGAAAGCATGGCAGAAAGCATCGGACACGTTTCGTGGCCTGAAAGAAGTCCACAGCAAAGGTGCACTATCGTGTGCTCTCAGGTGACGAGGAGACAAAAGTAGTACACATCAGGCGAATCAAGACAAACAATGGGTCACATGCTGAGCTTGATGTGCAGGAATCTCATTCTCGAAGACAAAACAAAATGATAAGCCATCTTGCTGTGCACTGCTGAAGACTTCTGAGGAAAGAAAACACTTGATCCGTTGATGTGGACGGCCAATTTGCTGGCACCTCTGCTCCGCTGAGCTCCAATTCTTGCCTTGGTAGATTGCAAATCTCAAATCTTGGAGCATGCTCTTGAAGCATGTTGAACAAGTGAGTGCTTACAAACAGGTGTGGCTCAACCATGATCCAAAGGGATAATCAAAAGAAACTTGGCCAGAAAATGTCAAGACAATTCCACAAGCGTCACAAGAACGATCTTTCCCTACATTTTTCCTTCTTGCATCCTTATGTATTTCAAGTCCAGTCCTCCCATCTAGCTACACCTGAATCTGCGGCTACCTCTATCCCAATATGCTCACCTGGTTTACTGGCCCATTTGTTTGCCAACCACATGCCAACTTGGCACCTTCTGTTCTGTATCTCATTACACTTGCAGTCATCATAACAAACACACAACCGACCATGTCAAACCATTCAGCTTTTCAAGGATCCAAGGGTGTCGACCAAGGTCTGTCTGAGTCTCTTCTTCTCTTGGCTCCGAGATACATCAATTCAACAGAAGCACCGTCAAGCACGGCTTCCTTGAAACCAGTGGTGTGGCTGAAATGAAACTGTTTGACTCAGTTCTGGTGGAGTCGCACCAGAATGTTCAAACAAACATAAACGATTAGAATCATCGACTTGTAGCATAACAAGATATGTGAAAAAATTGTGTCTGTCCAAGTTCTCCCCTTGGAAACGTTCGAATTTCCTCGGGATGGACTGTGTGGAGTCTATGAAAATGCAAGGTCCATGAAGTCCATCGAAAATGACTTTCTGCTGGGAAGTCTTGCTTACGCGTTTGTTCACTGTTTCTCCAAATTCTAATCGCAACGAACCTTGATGGTCCTTGAAGCATTTCTTGTCGAGGCTTCATCCTCCGCTGGCCTAACGCGCCAAGTGGCTGCTGCGCCGCAACACAATGCAAGGGCACTGTAAAAAACCTGGGCAGTTGTCAGATGTAGTGCAACATTTTCCTGCAAACGTGTTAGCCTTCGTGGTCATCAAGCATGTTCTTGTGAAAACACGGAGGACGCCACAGAAAATTTACATCCGCTCAGACACAAGTATGGCCACCAAAACCCCTGTTTGTCTGCTTGATTGCTTTACATGTTACAAGATTGCATACGAAGAAGCAACTTCCTTTTGAACTCATATGTATACAGGTCTAAAGTACTTTCCATCGAGATCCTGCTGTCCATTTCCGAGGAGCCAACAAAATAACTGCTACGCGACCTGCCAGTGTTGACAACACCAAATTCTCCCCACAAAAGGTTCCATGTTTGGGAAGCTTTATCTGGCTACATCTCATCATTCCAGAATTGCAGCTGTGGAATCGTAGAAAGGGAAACGGGGCTCAAAGCAATAAAACTTTACGCAGATAAGCAGGATTGGGCCTCAAGCAATGTCAAACCATTTTGCGAGGAAAAAAGATGCAGGAATGCGAGCGCTCTGCGCTGAAGCACCAATCCTATCTCGCCTTGGGAAAGGTTTTGGAAAATGAAAGCTTTTTGGTTGGGCGTTTTGGAAACAACACGGCCAAGCAGTTGTAAGAGGTATGGCGTTTGGAAGGCCACACCTAAGGCCCGTCACTACAGTAATGAAGAAAGTTGTTTGAAAGACGTTAAAAAATGCGAGGCCTTCTTCAAGCACTCTTTGCGCAAAGTGCTAGACTACTCTTTCATGGTTTCTTCTTTCGGATTGTTGTTCTCTAGGCGGTTCTTCCTTTGGTTTCTCCCTTATCATCTTCGAGGGCAGAGTGGGCCCGCACCCCAGAGTTTTCAGATCTTCTGAGCTGTCACCGCCGATCAATACAAAACAGTTTAAGCCCCCATATACGCCTCTTCTCCTCATCTGTCGAGACTAGCGTCTGAGACTTGAGCACATAACTATTGCAAAATTTTGCGGGGCAGCTTATAGAAGCCTAGAAGCAGTTCTAGACACCTCAAAATGAATGGAAAATAGTGCTGGTAAGCAGTGAATAGATTATCGCCCTTCTGACCCATATTGTGTGGATCAGACGCAGTTGGAGCCAAACCTCAAGAACCCTGCATCGTCCTCCGAACCAAGCGAAAAATAGAAGCTCTCAAATGGAACCCCAACAAAGCATACAGGCGATTCTGTCGCAACAAAAGCAAAAAACAACGTCTTTCCGGTCGCCTAGAATTTGCAGCCTGTACAAGCGCCGCGCACCACAAGATCTGGATGAATACCTGAGTCCGTACCCTACAGAACTCAATTCGTTCTGAGGCTACAGGAGGTTTATGACAAACCCAGCGCGCATATAGTTCTACATTTTGGGGGCGGGCAAAAAATTCATCCAGTATCTGAAGGACTCCATTCCAGGGCAGGTCAATCGAGAAAAATATACAACCGCTCAGGTAGATAGTTTGTGGTCCAGAGGACGTTCTCCAAAGGGGGGTGGGTCAATATGCGCTAAGCCTGAGCCTGAGCCGCGAGGCCCGTGGTGTCCAAAAGACAAGCGAGTACGCGACGGCAAACGATGACGACAATACGCACCACGAGCGCTTGCACGAAATGCGCCCTAGGAATACATGTGCGGGCGCACAATTTTCCTTGAGCCAAGATGTAATGGATGGAACGTACATATTGCATGTCCTCGGTGAACCGTTTCTATGTGAAGAAGATGAACGTTTAAATTGCACGCGCTGTTAACTGACTCCCCCCTTCCTGCTTTGTGGCCGCACCTATGTACACGCATGAATTACCACGCCTACGGCCGCGGCTACGGCGACCCACTGCTCGAACCAAATGCTGTCCCTGGTGGACGGCGCAATCTTCTTCATGTCGGTACGAGTTCACAAGGCCTTGAACCATTTCTGCAGTGCTAGATCCGTGGTAAACATGTCCGCTGCCGGATCGTTCGCGTCGACATAGGATGTCGATCGAAGGGTCATCGACGCATTCTTTTAGAGATGAGAGATAAATTCTATAAAATCCGGCCTAAGTTTAGGGAATACGGCCTTTCTTCTTCTGAAGATGTTTGGCCAGCTCATAGAACTTGATGGAAGCTATTGTCATCAACTTTCAGAAAAATGAACCGCAATACCTGACGCCTTTGCGTCGGCTCTGACCCTTGAACGGACTCATATTCCCAGGCGCCTTCGTCAACAAGGCCCTCGGCTCGTATCTTTTGAAAGGCTTCAGGTCATTGAGCACTTCAGTTCTAGTAAGGAGTTTGGTGACCAGTGACAAGTGTGGTCACTTTCCGCCTGCGGCCTCGTTGTGAGGAATATTGCACGCTTCATTCATGAGAGCAAGGATGTCCATCAAACACTCGACCATATTTTCGATAGTCTCGTCACGTCGGTCTCGACCGCAACAGAAGGCTGATACAAGTGTGAAAGCCATCCTCATCGTCTAGGTCAAGGTGTTCCTTGGGCAGAACTATATGAAGCAATCCTGGCTTCAGCCTGCTACCGCGCATGATATTGGTGTCAGCTGAGCAACATACCACTCAGTTTCTTGAACCACCGTTTCGGGTGTAATGCTGGACAGCAGACATGATACGACCCTTCCCATCTAACCACTTGAGGTATGTACTAGTAGGTGGCCTGCCCATGTTATCCTGCCAGACGGGCAAAGGCTGCGCGCGAAGCCGAACCCTGCCGTCCCACGTTGTGGCCTGGAAGGCACGTAAAGCTGCTTCCACCCGCGCACGCCGCGCGCACGAATCATGCGGAGAAATTTGAATGACCCCGTGGGGCTATCCCTCTTGCGCGCGCAAAACGTGAAAGAGATTAAGCAGCCCGTGCGCTTACGTTCGTTGATGACTTCTGACGCACAGTGGTACTGGGATCGGCCAGCTGCGTCTAGAAGACGAACGAGGTATCGGCCGACGGAGTTCCTTGCCTGCGCCGCAGTGCTGGAGAACCTGATGATAGGTCTTGGTTGCGGTCTGGGCTTCTTCGCTTTTGGTTTGGGTTCCGGAGCTGCCTGTTCCTCCTCTTGAAACACCTCTATACGGGCGAGTCGTTGAGCTCTGGAGCCAAGAAGTGAACGCCAGTGTTCGTGGCAAGTTGCGCACCTGACCCTGCGCATGGCGCCATGGAGCAAGCTCTGTGGGTTGGGGCGCCGCTGATGCGCAAACCTAAGCTGCATGTTTATGCGGCGGACGAAGTGTTTATGGTGGGGGAGGAAAGTAGGGGACAGGGAACTTCCATAAGCTTCTCAGGATGAGTCAATCTGCGCAGCCCTCGACGTCTCATAGGCAATGAGGCAACATCCCCGGAATCAGCACGCCAAACATTGCAATAGAATACGGAGCAAGCCTGTCTGAGCAAAACCATCTGGCTATCTTGCATTATGGACATGGACAGCGCCAATCAGGTCTCAGAGATGTGGGGAGCGCGGAAGAGCCGGATGAAGATGGAAGTGGATCAAGAACGCCAGCCTGGCAGCAAGAGGTCGGGAAAAGGAAGTTAGAGTGAAGGAGGAAGACTGCAGCCAAGACCAGAGAAACTTTCTTCAAGCACCAAGCCAACTGGTGCTTCTGACTTCTTCTCTCTTTTTTGAGCGCGGGCCCCGGCTCCAAATCACGCTGACCCAGACATTGGAATGGCGTCAGACGGCTCAGTCAGAGAGGCAACACTGACGCTGAAGACCATGTTGTGGGATTCCTCCATCTGACTCAAGACCAACCAGAAGAGGGACCCATTCATCTTCCCGAGGATGAAGCGGAATCACGACACCTCATCGATCTGACAAAGCAGTGTGGCAGTGGACCTGAAACTTTGAATCCTACACCTGGCAAACCTCGCCAGCGAGCAGACACAGTCAGGAAGAAATCATTTCAAAGGGCTGTGACACGCGCAATCGCACATGGCCATACCACCAGCTGACATCCAACACACACACAATCCTTGCACCTGTTGAAACAAACTCGACTCTAACATCTATGATGCTGGAGAGCTTCAGATCCTGAAAGATGATCAAACGCTTTGCAACTTTCTGACACATCGATGTGTTCTTTGTGGACTCTGGGCCAGTCGCACTCAGCAAATGGGAGCACATATATGAGCAGCGACCATGCTGAAGATCACACCCAATGTTCTTCCATCATTGCTTGCGCTCGCGTTCAAAATTCTGTCGCTACTGTGGTCAAGACCTTACGTCCAACACCCGTACCTGCCCTGCGATGAAGCAACTGGGCCTAGCCCTGGGGGATCGAAAGCATCGAGCTAACACCTCAGCCTCAGCCCATACAGCGCATAGAACCTCGATTTTCCTGCATTGTGATAGGCATTTTGCTACAGCTGCAGGCTGACGCGACCACGAGGATCATATTGATGGCGGTCACCCCTGATGGGCGCCTTGGATTGGCATGTGGTCTTTGCTCGCGCTGATCACAAAGCTCATCCTCCTTGCTCGAACACTTGCGCAGGGAGCACGGGAAAGACTGTGTGGAAACCACAAGGTATGCTGAGTGGCTTCCAAACTTCGGTGCATTGAGGAGCCTCCTTGCTCGTGTGCTCGAACAGCATACACGCACTTGGCACTGTTTGTCCACCACGATCTGATGGAATTTCAGGACGCCCACGAGGATCTTGCTCTATGCCATGCATTTCCTGTCTGGCGGAGTGTTGCAGCCTTTGTGGTCACGCTACTACCTCCAGGGAGTTGAGAATCCACCTTTGGAACAATCACGCGAAGCATTGCAACCGGGGCAGCTTGTACCGCCAATTCCTCAAACCTCTACAATTGAATCAAAAGACTTGCTCAGTTTGCTCATTGCATCTCACTGCAGCACATGAGTGTCAAGTTTTCTTGCACTTCTCTGCCCCTTTGGTGATCCTGCACCACGGTCATCATGGCGGCAGCAGAGGAACTGAAGAAGATGATCCACCACGAACATGGAGTCAACACCCAAAGGAAAGGCAAAGGGAAGACGGGAAAACCGGCAACAGCCCAGCAGAAGAATCATCAGCCTTCATCGGACAATTCCCAGAATTTGGTTAAGGTGGTGGCTCGTCTGCTCAGACACCATGCTCGAATTGCAAATGTCACCCAACCGCAGCTCAGTGCCTGATACTCTTGCCTCCCTCTTAGCCATCCTCCACCATGGACATGGAAACCAACCAAGTCTCCGAGATGTGGGGAGCTCTGAACCAATGGGTCAAGATGGACGTCGACTGCCAAGAGGCGTCGGTCCACCACGTCGAATGGAGGAAAGAGCCAGGGCAAAGGAAAAGGAAGAAAAGGACAGAACACCAATGGCGAGTCCACGCCAAGGTTCAAACAACCTGCTGCGGGCACTGAGCAGGTTGGTGCTAAGGCGCGAAGACACACTTCAGTGCCTGGCCACGGAGACGGACTTCTTCGTTTTTTCCCAAGAGCGCCTGCGAAGGGTTCTTCGTAAAAAAAGCATCTGCAGAACTACATCTCATCTACATCTTCACATCTTCACCTCTGCACATCTACATTCTCACCTATATCTCTGCTCATGTTCACATCTGCACATCTACATCTCTGCTCATGTTCACATCTGCACATCTACATCTCTGCTCATCTTCACATCCTCACATCGATCATCTCACATCTTCACCTCTCGCTCTTCTTTACTTTCTCTCTTAAGGCCGGGGGCGGTGCCGCCGGAGCACCACGAAACGCAACCCTCTGCGGAGATCGTGCGCGTCGAGGGCGCGAAATGCAGGCGAGAGTGCGTTTTGGCCCGATCGCGGGCAACCCTGTGCGGAGATCGTGCGTGTCGAGGGCGCGAAATGCAGGCGAGAGTGCATTTTGGCTCGGTCCGGCGCAACCCTCTGCGGAGATCGCGCGTGTCGAGGGCGCGAAAAGCAGGCGAGAGTGCGTTTTGGCCCGGTCCGGCGCGACCCTGCGCGGAGATCGTGCGTGTCGAGGGCGCGAAATGCAGGCGAGAGTGCGTTTTGGATTGGTCGAGCTCCACTTTTGGAGGACGTCTCGTACGAAAACGCTCGTTTTGGAGACTTGGCGCTTCACTTTTGGAGGACGTCTCGTACGAAGCGCTGGTTTTGGAGACTTGGCGCTTCACTTTTGGAGGAAGTCTCGTACGAAAACGTAACGCTCGTTTTGGAGACTTGGCGCTTCACTTTTGGAGGAAGTCTCGTACAGCTTTTCGGAGCTGGACTCAGAAGTGGCCAGTTTGTAGTGCACATGTAGTCTGGGAAAGAGCTTTTTGGAGCTGGACTCACACAACTGGCCAGCTTGTAGAGCAAATGTAGTACGGGAAAGAGCTTTTTAGAGCTGGACTCAGAAGCGGCCAGTTTGTAGTACAAATATAGTACGGGAAAGAGCCTTCGGAGCTGGACTCAGAAGCGGCCAGTTTGTAAAACAAATCTAGTGCTAGTGCGGGAAACAGCGTTGCGGAGCTGGACTCAGAAGTGTTTGCCTATGGTGCGATATGATTGCTTCTAGTGTGTGGGCAGACCATGTGGCGAATTACGTCCGTGATGTCGCAGCGCCATGCGGATTTGCGCGGCCTTGGTGGAAAGTGCGTTTGCGTGG